TCTGTTGTGTTTGGTAATGTATCAAAGAAAGAGAGAGAGGGGAAGGAAGAGTAGTAATATTATTTTTGCCAAAAAGGGTAGATAATTTAATTTATGTAAATATTTTACTTTCAATAGTTAATTATAATGGATCTACTGGCTATGGACAGGATTTCATGAAATCATTGTTGGGCAAAGTGGGGACACTTGATGTGAATGATGTGCAGGTACTTGCATTGTGTGTGTGTGTGAGAGAGAGAGAGAGGGAAAAGGATTAATTGAGGGCTATTATATATATAAGTGTCAATTTCAAGCTACATATGTATAATAACAGAAAGAGAGAAAAAGGAAAGAGAGAAGAATAATTAATAGAAATAAATTTTGTTGTCATTTCTCATAATGTTCACCATCCCTAATCTCTTATGATGCTAATACTATCATTATGCTATTATAATGAGAGGGACAGAGAAAGTTTGTTTGTATCATATATATTCTCCTTTAGTTTGCTGCTGAGTCACTGGTAAAGAGAGGTAGTGTTGATGCTAGTCGTGTATTTGCTCATGGTGGATCTCATGGTGGCTCTCTCTCAGTTCATTTAGTCTCTCAGTTTCCAGTAAGCAGCAGCAGTAGCAGCTGTAGGCTCCTAGTGAATTGTTCTTTTGTAGGACTTTTATAAAGCTACCTTTGTACGTAATCCTGTCATCAATATTGCTTGTAAGCTGAGAACAATCAAAATGAGAGAGAATTAATTTTATTTTTTATTTTTTAGCTATGAGGAATGAAACTGATGCGATAGACTGGTACGTGCATGTGTCATGCTCTTACTTGATATAATACTACTATACTACTACTACTATACTACTACTACTACTACTACTACTACTACTACTACTACTACTACTACTACTACTACTAATAATAATGATGATGATTATCATTATTATTTACATTTTTATTTAATATTTAGGACTCATTCTGTTACTAGATTACCCTATGACCCTAAAGCCACACCTACTCCTGATCAATATTCTAAAATGTTTGAAATTTCACCTATTGTCCATGCACATAAGGTAAACAGCTACTATATGGTTAGGAAAGAATTCTCTATTTTATTAAATTTTCTGATGCATATACATGTTCATGTTCTTACGTTGTTAACAAAGTTGAGCTAATTCAAAATTGGATTTTTTAATTTGCTCAAAAATTAGACCAAAAGCCATGCACTATAGTTATTTTCGTGGGTCTAAAATTTCATGGATTGCTCCTAGTGGAGCAATTTGTGGTTTAATTTTCGTGGTTGATGGTTTACATAGCCTGTAGGGGGATAGCACTTCAACGATTTGTGGGTTTAAATTTCATGGGGAGTTCAAAAACCATTAAAACCACAAAGATTACCTGCTATGTGGTAGTATGCAATTTTCAGCCAAACTTCATCAAAAATGACAAGGAGAGAATTGCCCATTTTAATAATTTTTTCTGATGCATATATATGACTATATAGTACAGAAAGTTTAAGCTAATTCCAATAAAATTAGATTTTTAAAGGTTTTTCTAAAATCAGACAAAAGACCAAGGGCTTTATAACCTTCAAAATGGCTAGAAGAGGGTTTTCTATTTTTTACAATTTTTTCTGATACACATACTGTATAGCGGGAAACTTTGGAGGGAATTAAATTTGGCGAATTGGCATTTTGATAACCACTTGCCAAATTAAAATCCACCATTTTCAGCAATTATGCGCATGCTCAATAGAACGTGGCCACAAATTTGTCAAATTAAGTTCCGTTAATCACCTAAAATTTAGCAATTCGGCAAATTTTACTCTCTCCAAAATTTCCCACTATACGGTACATGTACTATGTTAACTTCAAGCTCATTTTGATCAAATTTGAATTTTTTAATGCTCAAAAATTGTGCCAAACACCCTGTATACAAGAATTCTCTATTTTAAAAAATTTTATCTAATGTTCTTATGTTGCACAAAAAGTTTGAGCTAGTATATAATACTTTATTTTATTTTCAGATTAAAGCAGCTGTCACCCTAGCAGTTGGAGCAGAGGACCACAGATGCCCTCCATCCCAAGCTAGAGAACTCTACACTCTGTTACATGCACAAGGAAAAGACGTCAAGTAAGACACGCCCCTCACTCTACCCAGTAACCATGGCAACACTATAGTATGTTCCTATACCCGGACTATCATCCCTTGATGTCAGTGGACACTGATGCTGACTGCTACATGCATTGTGTACTACTGTTTAACAAGTATTCATAAACCAAGAGATGTTAGTATTGATATATATACATGAACTTGAGTGTGTATATTTTTTAAATGGATCTTTATACAAGTCAGTTTTTCATCAACATTTAATTGATATATTGCTTCAAAATTAATTTGAAATTAAATTTTGAGGATTTGAAACATAGTCAATAACAGTTAGTTCTAGCTTTTTTCTAAAAATTGCTCACAAATCCCCCCAAATTTTTATTACATTTTCTGATACATATTGATGTCTTTATGACATGTAGAAATTTTGAGCCAATTCCGACTACTAAATTTATAGCCATGCTAATTTCTGAAAATACACTGTGTGTAGGTCAAGATGTAGATCTGTATAGTCCATACTTTGTAATTTCAAAACCTTTGCTTTAATTAATTGTTATAAATTATATTACTTTTGGTTTCATTCTTCCCATAATCACAGACTGGTCAAAGTATATAATATTATCAATCATTCCAGAGGATGTAGTTCTATCATATTGAGTGACACAACCAGTAAAATGGCGACTGCATTCTTTCTCTCTATCAACCAAAACTTTATGATTATTGCCTTTATTTAAACTAATTCAATTCTTCCAACGAATTAATTTTTTCTTGAAAGTTTCATTGCATACCGTAGACTAATAGTCTACAGTACATTTTATCATAGATATCTATGTTCTACATAGTATATTTATGATTTTATTTTGCAATGAATACTTAGCACGCATATCCTATGATTATATGACTGGGCATTCGGTAACTGGCTAGTTTTAATGAAAGACAAAAATGGCTCACTATACAGAGATGACAGAGCTCCTTTCCAGTGCAAAGTACCTAAAGGAGAACTCTTAGTTGAAGACATTATGACTGGACATTAAGCAACTTTAAACTCCCTAGCAATATATCTTTAAAAGCATGATTATTCTGGCCCCTACCCACCAATGATATATCAGAACATCATCCCAACTACTCCCGGGATTTGTGAACTAGTAGTTCACAAACCTCTGGAGTGGTGAATTAGTGTAAGCATACTGAGATATTTATGGTGTAAGAAAACAAATAACTGATTAAGTATTTTATACGTTATGCGTATTATACGACAATCTATGACCACGCCTTGCAAAATTATAGATATTTATGACCGCATAACATCGCTGAGTGCACAGTGCAATCATAATCGTGTAATTAATTTCTTAATGATGGCTGCTATTCAAGAGAAAGCTCGTCAGCTATACAGAGAGATTGCACAGATACCAGTTGCTACTGGAGGTCGTATATTCCGCTCAGGGGATGGGCTGTACGAGGTTAAAGTAAAATGGAGTCAAAAAGATCTTAAAAGAGGACTTACAGTTACTTTTGACAAGTCTTACCTGGTCCGCAGAGACCCTGGCACTAAGAAACTCTCTCTATTCAATAGCAGCAACTTCCAACACGATGCTACATCAGTGTAAGACTTGGGATTTGTGACACCATAGAGTTTATGTTGATATCAATTCATAATTATCACTTATTGTTATATGACTTTTATTGCATATTCCTGTTTGTAATTTGAATTTTTGCAATTTTTAGTTTGTTAGAAAGTTATTCCACTTGTGGGAAGTTCAGAGCTGTACTCATGAAAGGAAAGTCGTCAAAGATGGAGTCTGGGGCTGAACCACAGCAGTTTATAGAAGTAAGCAATTATTAAATTGTTTTGGAAATTACAAATTATTTAGTTATTATCATTGTTGTTGTTATTATTATCATTGTTGTTATTATCATTGCTGCTGTTATTACTTTAGATCTGGGACTCAAATAGTTTGATAAAGAGTTTCAATGTCAAGGAGCAGTTGGGAAAGAAACATGGCAAAATTAATGTTGATGGCAAGCTATTTTTTTAAAACTTTTGTTATCAAACAAAAAAGTTTGTGTCCTATAGCACATAACACAGCTACTATTTTGACACACCTGTGTTTTGTATTAATACAAACAAGCGTAACAGTGTAAAAAATAGTCCTATAATTGATTTCACCACCTTGTATGCATAGCTGGGCACTTATTAGGACTTATAGAGGTTCTCTCTACCTTCTAATGCTTCTAGAGAAGTTTTTAAACCGTATCTCTAAGTTCTCTTGCCGTTAAAAAGCACAAAAGTTTTCCCATATGTAAGTCGCCATTTTGTTTGCCGTGGCCACGCTCACTCACGTAAAGGAGCGTGGGTGGGTGGTTGCTAAGGCTTGTTGTTTTTCCAATACAACATGTATAGAAGAAATGTAAGTGTGGACATACAAATACCGGTACATGTAATACAAACATCGCATGTGGGTGAAATCAATTATACCGTATAGTGGGAAATTTTGAAGGGACTGAAATTTGGCGAATTGCTAAATTTTGGTGATTGGCGAATTTTAATTTGGTGAATTGGTGGCCACGTGCCATTGAGCATGCGTATAATGGCTCAAAATGGTGGGTTTAATTTTGGCGAATGGCTATCAAAACGCCAAATTCGCCAAATTTAATTCCCTCCAAAATTTCCCGCTATACGGTATGTAGGAACAACCTGAGAGCTACGTCCCCAGGTCGTTAAAAACTATGTTATTTAAACACAATTTATTGTGTTCATTTTTGGAATGTGCTAAAAATTGACACGTGTTAAAATCTGGGACAAAATTTTTTGTTTAATTTTTTGTCTAAAAATTGAATGCAGAAATGATGTTTTAAAAATACATGATTTTTTGTGTTAATTTTTAGATCAATTCTCAAGCTTCCAGTTGTCCTCTGATGGCTCAAAACTGCTCTATGTCGCTGAGAAGAAGGTCCCAGACAGCATTTCATACTTTAAGAAGAACAATGGTATGTTATAAATATACTGACCCAAGATGATCTTTAATGTTAGTGCATTTATTGGCATAATAAAACTGCTAATTAATATCACTGACTTGTGGTTGCATTTGAAATAATTATCTCTTTCTGTCATACACTGTATAGGAGATGAAGACAAAGGATCTGAACCTAAGGAAATGGTAATGAAAACACACAAAATTTTTATTTGATTATTGATAAATATTTTATCCATAGGGCACTGAATATGTATACCGCCAGAGCTGGGGAGAGCAGTTGACAACAGTCATTAATCCTATCATTGTTGTATTGGATATTAAGACTGAGGAATGCACTGTTATTGATTCTCCTTCTAATTACTCGTGTGGGCGGGCTAGATGGGTACCTGATTCCACTAAAGAGCTGGTTTATGTTGGCTACAATAATGAACCACTTAAACTTGGTTTGCTGTACTGCAATAGAAAGTGAGAAAGGAAGGACTATATGAGCTAGGCTAGTGGATGTATTTTTGTAATTTTTAGGTCAACTCTCTTTTGTGCCAATGTTGATACTAATGTGTCAAGTAAGATTATAATTATTAATGATATGACCCACCTCCACTGTCACATGACATCTATTATATTAATTATCATGTGATGTGTTAGTGGGTTAAATACAACCAGTTCTATACTATAAAGGGACATTTTGGCTTTTGTCATGTAACATTTCCAATTTTCCATACAGTCATTATATGCAACCACTTTATGTGATTAATAGCACTGTTGTCACATTTCTGAAACTGTACAGCACAAAATTTTTGAGAGCTCTAAATTTTTGCAGATTTTACAATTCTTGCAGATTTATAAAAATGAATTCCGCGAAAAATCAATTTATTATGGTTCAAGATGGCAGATGGTATAATTTTGCAA